TAACTAAATCACAGATCTTACTTGAATTAGACCACATTTCTACTAATGTTTCAAGATCTTATCCAGGATCTCACATTGCCTTGAGTTGTTGTTTTTCCTTAATTCCCTTCAATCTTTAATGGTCTTTCATTGTCTTTCATGATCTTTTCTGAGTGTTTAAAAGCAAATCCCAGACATATCACTTCACCTGTAAACATGTCAGTGTGTTTCTCTAACAGGGAAGGACGTTTTCTTTGTTACCACAATAACAAGACTAATAATTTCTCAGTATCATCTAATCTCTGCTCATCATCTCACAATTTTCTAAAAACGTGTGTTTTTATAGTTTGTCCATATCAGGATCCAAAGTCAACAAATTGCATTTGGATAATAAGTCTCATAAGTCTCTTTTACTATTAAATGTTCTCCTGTTTTTAATGTAATTTATTTGTTTAAATTCAGTCATTTGTCTTGTAGAACTCTCTACTTTCTGAATTTGGCTGATTGTATTCTCATGGTATTTTTAGTATGTTGCTCTATCCATATATTTCCTGTAAATGCTAAGATATAGAGGCTTGATTGTATTCAGGTTCATTTCGGTTGGAGGACGGGCAAGAATAAAAAGAACTCAGATGGCCCCTAAAATTAGGAATGTTTGTTTTTTTAACTGTTTATTAAGAAAAGTTTAAGAGGTATACAAAAGTACAGTGGTAAAATATACCCTTATGTACCTAACCTTCAGTACTTACCAATTTATGGCAAGTCTTCTTTCTTCTGTAGCCCTATCCATTTCCCTTCTATACTATTTTGAAGCACATCTTAGGCATCATTACTTTAGTAAATATTTAACATGTATCTCTAAAAGAAAAGGGGTCTGTTTTTAAAGAACATAACAATATCATTAGTACATCCAAAAAATTAGTAATTCCCTAATATCAAATATCTTGTCAGTGTTCAAATTTCCAGTTATCTCCTAAATGTCATATTTTTATGATTTAAAATCTGGCCCACTACCTATTTTTATAAATAAGGTTTTATTAATTGTTTATGTCTTGTCTTGGACTGCTTTCATGCTACAGCAGCAGAGTTCAGTAGTTGCAACAGAATCTACATGGCTCTCAGAGCCTGAAACACTTACTTTTGGCACCCTTTAAAGAAAAAATTTTGTGACCCTTGCTCTAGGCAATCATCTTTTAGAATAATTTAAAACAAGAAAAAATATTTTTTATAATTATCTTCATTTTAACCACTTCTGGAGATCTTCTTTTCCTGTGTAAGTCCAAGTTTCGTTCTGATATCACATTCTTGAAGATCTTTCTTTAACATTTCTTGTAGTGTGTGTCTCAGCTTTTGCTTGTCTGAAAAAAGTATTTTGCCTTCATTTTTGATAGCTGTTTTTCCTGGGTTTAGAATTCTGGGTTGACAGTTTTTTGCAGCGTTCTAAAGGTATTTCCATTTTCTTCTAGCTTGGGTAGTTGTGGGTGAAATGTCTGTTATTTATCTTTGTCCCGCTGAATGCAGTGTCTTTCTCTGGCGGCCTTCAGGATTTTCTTTATTTTTGGTTTTCAGTAGTTTGATTGTGTCCAGGTTTGTGGATTTTTGGTTTTGTTTTGTCTTTAGGTATTTATCTTGAGTGAGGTTCTCTGGGCTTGGATCTGTCATTTGATGTGTGTCATTATTTTTGGAAAATATTCAGCCATTATTTTTCCAAATATTTCTTCAGACACATTTTCTCACTCTTCTGGGATTCCAATTATATATATATATATATTAGACCATTTAATATTGACCCACAGCTCTTGGATGCTTATTCTGTTTTGGGTTTTGTTTGTTTTTTCAACTTTTATTGAGATATAATTGACATAATAACATTGTTTAAGTTTAAGGTGTACAACAATGATTTGATATATTTTTTTCTCCTTAAAATTTTCTCTTTTTGTTTTAGTCTGGATAATTTTGACTGACCTATCACTGATTTCTTTCTTTGGCTGTGTTGAATCTACAGATAAAGCTGTCAAAGGCATTCTTCATCTGTTACTGTGTTCATTTATTTCTGGGATTACCATTTGACTTTTACAGTTTCCATCTCTTTGCAGAAATTCACCATCGTTTGTGCACATGCCTTTTCTACTAGAGCCTTTAACATATTAATCATAGTCCTATTAATTTTCCTCTGCTAATTCTAACATCTGGGGCATCTCAGAGTCTCTGGTTTTATTGATTGCTATGTCTCATCATAGTGGGTTGTTTCTTCATTGTGGGGGGAGTAATTTTTTTTATTGAATGCTGGCCATCATGTATAGAACAGTAGAGACTGCCTGGAAGTGGCACATCTTTTCTGCCAAGGTTTTCCTGTGGGGATTAAATCAGTCTGGTCAGGAGTTGAACTGTGCTTGGGTTTCATCCTTGCTATGGGAACCTTCAGTGTGTCACCAACTTCAAATTCCTCTTCTGTTACATTGTGCTTGGGGTGAGTGCTAGATCATCCCTGTGTTTTTCCTAACGTTCCTGTTCTATTCTCAGCTCTCTGCATTTTCCCTTTGCCCTTGCATAAGATAGTGGTTCTCTCTCCAACCTCTAGGCCCTCCCCTAGCAGTAGACTGCTGTTGGTTTTGACTCCATACTTGCTACTCTAGGGGGTGGGGCTGGGAGGGGGGATTCTTTGCTGTGTTGGTCCAGCCTCAGCCTTAGGTAAACCGTGTATCCCTGTGTCTCCTGAGTGGGACTTTCACTGATTCTGTTTCTCTCTCCAGCTGAAGGAGACTGTCGTGGTCTGGCCTCAGGATGTTTTCCTATCCCTCCCCCAGGAGTAGAGAGATTTGTCTTTTCCCTTTCCCCAGCCACAGCGGGTCTTCGCCTGTGCCCTGGAGACAACAGAGTTCTCCCAGTAGCTCTAAGGCTGTTGTTCTGTAGGGGAGAAGAGTCTGAGCAGGGCTCTTTGCTTTTCTTGGAATTGGCAGCTCCTCCCTCCCCCAAAACCCAGACCCAGTGGAAGTCGGTGGAGAAGACTCTGCAAGTGGGTGTGAACTCCCCTTGTGTCTGATGCTTCCAGGGGCTCTGTACCCTCGTACTAGTCCATGCTTGGCCTTTAGCAATTCATTCTAAATTTTAGCAGAATTCTTAAGCATCTGTGTGATGCCTAGTGTCATTCTCTGTGTTATGATACAATGTGCAAAGTAGTGCTCATGTCCCATGTTTTCCTGGAAGTACCTCTCTTTTCTTAGATTTTAATCAGGCTGCTTGGTTGCTCTTCAACCTCCACTCTCTGATGGGTTCAAGGAAAGTTATGATTTTGTAGTTAATCTAACTTTTTCACATTGTTCTAGTGGGAGGGGTATTCTTTCCAGCTTTCTACATTCTAATCACAAGTCAAATTACAGTGTATTAAAGTCACTTGAAATAGTTGCTGTGTGGTTGTGCATTTAATTCAACGTACAGTAGGTTCATTTGTTTCATTTTTCTTTCAGTCTTAAGGACTTCTTTTACGTTTTAATTTTGTTTCATAATTATTGCAACTATTTATATGATTTCAAGCTCTCAAGTCATATATATAGAACAACTTGTATTTGAAGAAGCCTAACTTCTCTCCCTGTCTTCTCTACCTTATTCCCCACTTTCCTTAATAGGAAGCCTCTTTAAAAAAAATCATATGACTGACTTCTTACATATGACTTACATCACACTGCATGATTTATCTCTTACACATTTCTTACATTTAAAAGATAACGTTCAGGTGTGAGAGTGTGTATTTGTGTTCCCTCCTTTCTTAGATAAATGGTAGCATATTATACAAACTTTTCTCCACGTTGCTTTTTTATTTAACACTCCATAAATAGTTCTTTGGAGATACTCCCATTCCTTTTACAGCTGCATAGAACTCTGTTATGTGCATATCCCATACTTTATTCAAGTAGTCCTCTGTTGATGGGCATATGGATTATTCTCAGGATTTTGCTTTTACAAGTAGTGTTATAATAAGTAGTTTTGTTTATATGTCCTTTTGTGTTTTTGCCACTTTGTCTTTAGACTCCTAAAAGTGGCATTGCTTAGTCAATGGGCGATCCATATATAAATTTGCTAGATATTGCCAGATTTATCTTCAGTAGACTGTAGTACCAGATGTGTGTGAATGCTTCACCTGCAGAGTATGTTGTCAAACTGTTGGATTTTTGCCAGTCTTAACAGGGAAAAATTTTTATTACAAGTAGCTTTAATTTGCATTTCTTATTAAAAGTGTGTTTGAGAATTTATTTTTCATAAGTTCTTTGAGCAACGTTATTCTTCCTAAAATTTCAGTATACTGTCTTGTACTTGGTTTACCTACAACTGCTACCCTCTAAATATTGTGCCTGTTGGGCCAAAATCCATGTGAGAAGGGATTGCTTTTGTTTTCTTAGGAACTTGAAGATTTCAGAGTTTTAGTTAGAATAATAAAATTTGGCAGATGAATGTAAGAGTTTATAAGCTTGCAATCTCGTAATTCACTTTGGAAATGTTATTTGATCTGGTTTGCTAGGTAACCTGGTAAAAAGAGTAGAAATCAAGATTTATTTTGCTATTTCCCTGTTCTTCCCAGTTTCCCGTTAGGCTTCACCTAATGCTCCTTTCTAGCCAGCAGAGGCCACCGGAGCCTACCAAGGAGCAGAAGAGCTACAGAATTGTGGCTCTGTGAAGATGTGGTTGCCGAAAGGTCGCTTTCAAATAGCTTTGCAGTGTTGTTAGCTTGTGCCATGTGAAGGTTTCATGCTTGAAAGAAAGCAAATATTTGAGGGCAAGAAAGTGTCTATGCCATTTACTTCGTAATTTTTTCCATCATATGCCATCTCCTTCTTTAAGTTAAAAGAAATAAGCATTTGAGAATTTTAGTTGACCGTATTGTTTAATGTCTGGTAAACTAATATGTTACTTGAAAAATTGTGTAAATCCCTACAAAAAGAAGTAGTCCCTACTCACTAGGAAATGTTGTCTTTGAGGAATGCAGTTGATTATAGACTTTACTTTTTTTCCCCAACTATTCTCAGTTTGCAGGCCTTTCCGATATATCGATCTCACAAGACATCCCCGTGGAAGGAGAAATCACCATTCCTATGAGATCTCACATTCGGGAATTTGACAGCTCCACATTAAATGAATCTGTTCAGAATACCATTGTAAGTGAGACTAGCTGAGAGAACTTCTATTCAGTATCATGGGACTAAATAACTATAGTGCTTTGTAATAATTTTTATTTGGCTCACTGATTTTCAGTATATCTTATTGATTGAAGTTTAAGATTTTCCCCTAGAGAATAATTCGGTACAGCCTTTTTGGAGAGCAGTTTCGCCATAATGAGTATTAAGAATCTTATAATGTTCGAACATTTTTAAGCTGATAATTCTGCTCCACATACAGTATATGGAATTTTTTTAAAAAATATTTTTCAAAATACAGAAGAATATTAATATACAAAGATGTTTATTACAGCATTCCTTATAATAAGGGGAAATTGAACAACAGAGGGGATATCAGTTAAGTAAATTATGTTACATCTATGTAATGGAATACTAAACAACTGTTCAAAATGTATTTACAAAGAACTGTTAAATGACATGAAGAAATTTCTAGGTAAAAAAGGCAGGACAGAATTATCTCAACTATATTTTGGCAGGTTATATTTGTATTACCTCAAATGTCATGATTTTTTTTAAAGGTTTTTTTTATTTATTTGAGAGAGAGAGGGAAAATGAATGGGGTGGGGGCAGGGGGAGAGTGAGAAGGAGAAGCAGACTCCCTGCTGAGCAGGAAGCCCAACAGGGGGCTCGATCCCAGGACTGTGAGATCGTGACCTGAGCCACCCAGGTGCCCCTCAACTGTCTTGATTTTTAAAAATCTAGCTTTTAGGATTCATTTACCAGTTAAATTGGGAATGTTGGAGATTAATTTGTTTTATATTGTATATAATGCGGTAGCCGGAGAGCAGGCTAATTGGCCCTTAGGACTTAATCAGTTATGAACTGAAAGTCAGATGCCATGTGTTGCAGAGTAGATTTTTAATAGTTATATTATTTTAGTTTCTTTAAGTAATATATTGGGACAGCTATATTTCTCTTTTACAGAGCTTTAAAAATCAAAACAGAGCTGGTGGATGTGGTAAAGAGTTAAATGTTGGCTTAAGGAGTTAATAAAAAAGTTAATAGAACACTGGGTAGTATATAAGACTGATGAATCACTGACCTCTACCTCTGAAACCAATTATACATTATATGTTAGTTAAGTGAATTTAAATAAATTAAAAAAAGAAAAAAGTTAATAAGAAACACACTACCTTTCTGTTTGTTTGTATAGTGAAGGAGTTAAACTGGAATTGTAGCTCCCAAATTCAATGAACCCAGGAGGTTAAAATAAAAGAAATTTGAGCAAATTAAGTGAGGGGACTACTTGGTAACCTTAGTCATGACACTACAACAAGTTGTTTCTCTTTCAGATGCGTGATCTAAAAGCTGTTGGGAAAAAATTCATGCATGTTTTGTACCCAAGGAAAAGTAATACTCTTTTGAGAGATTGTAAGTATGAGTTTCTTGAGGATTTGCTATTTTTCAGCATACCTTATCATAAATACTTTTTTGTGGCTAAATTTCTGTGATAAGAAAACTGACATTTTGCAGAATGAAAAAATACATAAATGAACATGCAAATGAACATTCTGAAGAATTAAACATTTAGAATGGAATTTCAGAGATTGGAAGAATTTGCTTAATATATTGTCTTCATTAATAAATATAGACTGTATATCTTCACCTGCCACTGAAAAAAATATTTCTGGAAGCTGCAAACACATAGGGACTTTATTCAACCACAGAACTGACAGTCTCCAAGGGAAAGGCAAAATGTTTGAATATTAAATTAGAATAACAGCTAATACCCATTAAGGATTAACAAATTAATACCTTTATTGACATTTCTATTTGCAGAACTATTACTTAGTCTGCTGACTGCTTTTTTTTGTCCACGAGGTCTATCAAAACAGTGTTTGCAATAAATTATGCTCTTATTTAGAATTTATTATTAAAATTGTTAGACCTTTTATTTTTGCATTCATAGTACCCTTTATCAGAAAAGTTGAATCAGTTGTTTGAGAGTAGTAACAATGATGTACATGAGTGTACCTTCTATTTTGGCAGCATTTCAGCTGTAATGTAGGGATGTCAAGTATGTGGCACATGGATGCAGTGTCAGAATCTTTTTTAACATAGTACACTGTGGGTTGGAGCTGACATGATTTGCTACTGCTGGTATATAGTGGAAAGAGCATGGACAGATCTGGGTTTGAATAGTGGTTCCATCACTACCTATGTGATCTTGGATAAGACAGTTAACTTTTCTGAGGCTCAAGTTTCTTCCTCTGTTAAAGTGGAGATAATACTGTGTATCTGCTGGTGAGGCTTAGAGATAATGCATATCAACCACCTCGCACAGCATCTGACATTTCGTAGGCACCCCATAAATGTTAGCTGTTACTCTAGTGCCTTGCCCTTCCCCTACACATACCTCTTTTTTAATCCTTACAACAACCTTGTGAAGTACGAATTATTGCTCCTGTTTTACAGATGAGGAGAATGAGTCTCAGAGAAGCTGAGTGTCTGGTCAGGATGACACAGGCAGGACTAGCACCCAGTTTTCAAGTTCATTGCCCTTTCCATTCTACCACTGCTATCCCAGATGTGAGGATACCCTTTCAACTGCTGCTGTGGCTCAGTCCAAAGCAAGTTTGCTTCAGTGACAGTGCAGAACCAGTGTGTTATCTTGCCGATTAGTGATGATGATTAGCTATGTCTTGTGTTAAGGTCCATTCCCAGACCTTGTGGGGATAGACACATAGGCTGGCACAAAGGGTAAGTCAGTCATGGCCCAAATTTGCACTTCTGCCCTGCCCTGTTAGCATAGCCCTTGGTAAAGTGGCAAGGAAAAAATTCACAACTTAAAAATAAATTAAAAAAAAACCACAATGTGATATCACTTCACACCCAATAGGATGGCCGTTATCAAAGAAACAGAAATCACAAATATTGGTGAGGATGTGGAGAAATTGGAACCCTTGCGCATTGCTAGTGGGAATGTAAAATGGTGCAGTTTTTGTGCAAAATAGCATGGTGGTTCCTCAGAAAATTAAGCATAGAATTACTATATGATCCAGCAATTCTACTTCTAGGTATATACCCAAAAATTGAAAGCAGGAACTCAAGCAGATATTTGTGCACCCATGTCCATAGCAGCCTTATTCACAATAGCCAGAAGGTAGACGGATGGATAGACAAATTGTGGTATATACACCGTGACATATACCATATACTAATAGACTATGACTCAGTTTTAAAAAGGAGTGAAATTCTGATCCAGGCTACAACATGGATTAGCCGTGAAGACATTGTGCTAAGTAAAATAGGCCAGTCACAAAAGGATATACGTTTTTTCACTTATATTTGGTTCCTAGAGTAGTTGAATTGATAGAAAGTAAAATGATGATTGCTGGAGGCTAAGTGGGGAATGGGAGTTATTATTTCACGGGTTGGAGTTTTAGTTTGGGAAGATGAAAAAGTTCTGGAGATGGATGATACAAAGGTTGTACAACAACGAAAAAAAACAGTTGTACAACAATGAATGTACCCAAAGCCTGTACACTTAAAAGTGACTAAAATGGTAAATTTTGTGATATATATATCTATATCTATAGATATATATATATTCTATTAAGGTATATATATATTCTACTAAATAGAATATATTCTACTAAAAATAGAATATATTCTAAATATATATATATTCTGCTAAAATAAGAAAATAGTTTTAAAATGCTATTACAGATTTTTTATGAATTAAAAAAAACTTAAGTGTATTTTTTTAAAAGCCAGTATATTAATGTCAGTTGTACTTGAATTCACTTTTTTAGTTGATAAGTTCAAAAATTTAACAAGAAAAACAATATTTTATCAGAGTGGTAGGATTATAATTTTTCTTTATACCTTTTCCAAGCTTTCCTCAGTGGTGTCAAAATTACATATATAATGTGAAAAAAAAACAATATAAGTATGTACATATGCATACTTCTTTAAAGTTATGTACGTAAGAGGTTAAAGTTAGAAATGGTGTATGTATCTTTTTTCATATTAGTGGAGGAAGGTAATTTTGCTGTAGGCTGTATGTTACTGAACTGTTGGCTGATTAATTTACCTAACAGCTATTAATTGAGAACCGCTGTGCTTAGACCTGATGTTGGCAGAGCCTTTTATACTTTTCCAAAAGCTTTCATGTTATTTGCTAAGGTTTGACCTAATGAAATTACCAATATTGGCCTGTTTTTTCACCTATAAGAACAGCAATTCCATACTAGTTCAGTGTAATGGATTATAGAAGGGAAGCAGTGTGGCAGAGTGGAAAGAACTCTGGAGTAGGACTCAGAAGACCAAGGGGTCTGGTCCCCCCTCCACACCTAACTATTTATATAAACTTGGGGAAATCACTTCCTTCTGAGCTTCATTTCTCATATTCTTGAGGTGAGCCTGATTATACTTGCTTTGTCTAATGTAGTCTCAGTTTTGTGGAGTGACTTGGCTCTAGTCTTTCTGAGGGTGGGGCACCTAAGTCTTTTGACTCCCGGCCCCTTGGTCTTTATAGCATGCTGGAATGTGGCTTAGTAGGTGGGAGAGAGGTGATTTGTGGTCTAAGAAGTCAACAAAATTTAAAGGATATATGAAGAAGGGCATTCAGAATTGGGGAGCAGGGAGGGCAGGTAGAGGGGTAGGAGAAGTGGGAAGGCTTGGGCCGACAGAAGGAGCCTTGATGTCTGCATTCCAAGAGTGGGAGAGGTAGATAATTGGAATAAAGTTAGAAAATACTACGTAGTTGTTTCTTAATAGTCTGTTTTTTCTTGCCTCATAGGGGATCTATGGGGCCCTTTGATCCTTTGTGTGACACTTGCATTGTAAGTACTTACATTTCCTTCCTTTGTCATTTGAGATAGACTGTACTTTTTTTGTGTGGAGTTTCAAAATTGAGGGGAATTTTGAATATTTAATTTAGGACTTCTATGACGTATTGTACTCCTTATGATTTAAATCTAAAAAGTGAAGCAGGTTTCCAGATCAATTCAAAGAGTGATGGAATTAAAGATATGAAAATTGCGCTCCTCTCTGTTTACCAATAACTTCTTAGCCTGTTTTAGGCATTTCTGTTGAACTGACATTTGTTTACTCTCATGCACCTCCCCATCATTAAACTAAGTGAATTAAATATCTATAGGTTTAAGCACTGTTTATTTGCAAACATAGGTCTTTTTAAATCTTAATAATAACACAGATGAGAATGAGAATAAATTAGAGTAGAACTGATAGAGTTCAAAGCAAGATCATGTTTCAAAGTGTTAGGCTTTCCATACACATTGTACTTGGAGAAGACAGAAGAGCGAAGTTCCATTGGAAAGGGGAATATAACCATTGGTAGCATGGAAAAAAATACTGCATTAGGATTCAGTTCTGGGTTCTCATCCTGACTGTGCTATCTGCAAAGCGATTTGGGGCTACCTAGAACCCTAAAATGTGTATAATGATTTTTCCCGGTTTACAGAAAACTTTTAAATACCTTCTCTGTATTTTATCCTCATAGCAAGAATATTATTTTCTTTCTTTTTTTGACAAACAAGCTTGGTTCAAAGAGATTGGGGACTGAACCGAGATCACTACAATCAGTGGTAGACCTGGCATTCAACCTCAGATTTCCTTGATTGCCCATTTTCTTCCTCTGTGATTATTATACATCTCTTCCCAACTAACCCCTCTGGGTCTCCTCTTCCATATCTATAAAAGGAGATGGCTAAGGATCCCTTCCAGGCTTGACCTTTTATGATTCTAAATTCAGCAAATTTCTAATGATTTTTCTACCCATTTTTAATGTAACTTAGGTAATAACATAGAGTGCTATTTCTTATGCCTTTAATAACCACATCAAGGGCAATACTCCAGTGCCTTGACAGACAGGTTTATAGTAGAATCACTGAGCATATATTTTTTTAGTTTTAAAAAGGTTAACATTAGAGATTATGTAGTTTAATCCAATTTATTTGCAGAGAGGACAACTGGAGTCCCAAGACATCAAGTGATTTATTCTAGTTTATACACCTAGGGACAGAACTAGGATCACTGTCTGGATCTCCTGCCTTCGAGGCCTGTTAATGTTCTCCCATCATACATGCTGAAACAGTAGAGATTCTAGACAACAAGTGATGAGTGCCAGCATTCCTTGCATCGGATTGTCAGGACGCAGAATGGAGTACTTACAACTGTAGAATACAGAAGCCTGTCCCGGCAAACAGCATAGCAGGGCGAGACTTACTATGTGATTCCTCTATACTATAATAAAAAGAGATTGGGAGCTTTGTGTTACTATTTTTTGGGGGAAAAAAATGACACTCAGTCCAAGTGTTCTAGTCCACAATTCAAAACAGTTTATGTCTGTAAAATTCTTAGACAAAGAGAAAATATTTCAGTGACTGTTCAGCTACTCCATTTTAAAGCAAAGTCTTTTAGTAATAATCTGTGTTTTGATTCAAAAGAATCACCTAAATAGGTTTATAGACTGTTTCCATTTTGAAATGTCAGAACTAGGGGCACCTGGGTGGCTCAGTCAGTTAAGTGTCTGCCTTGGGCTCAGTTCATGATCCTGGGGTCCTGGGATCCAGCCCCATGTCGTGCTCCCTGCTCAGTGGGGAGCCTGTTTCTTCCTCTCCCTATGCTCCCCCTCCCGCCCCCCGCTCATACTTTCTCTCTTGCTCTGCTCTCTCTCTCTCAAATAAAATCTTTAAAAAATAATAAATGTCAGAACTAAAGCCTTAACCAAAGGATTACAAATGCAAATGTGTCTAGGGGCTAGAGAAGTAACCTAAATGTGTGCCTGATTTGGTGACCTGAAGCCCTTTGTGAAGGGACCTGCTTCTATGTCAGTCAACTGCTCTCAGTTGTTGCCATGTAGGAACGTAAGCCCACTGTTAGAAAGTCTTCAGGTTTTTCAGGAAAATCCAGAAATACATATTTTTAGGTGAAACCTCCCAATTTTAAAAACCGTCACTTGAATTTAAACCCATTTTAAGTCTTGTACGGACTGACAACCTCATGTCTGTGAGTCACATTTGACCCTTCAATTTATAACCTCTGCTTAACCAAAAAGGTCTTCAATAATCCATTTACACATCCCAACAAGGCCAAGTGAGGTGACCCTTGTAGTCCTGAGGCATTTGGAATTGGAAGTAAGGGAGCCTTGCCAAATATTTCTGGCATTTTACTTTCGTACAACCTATATATTACAGATCTTCAGGTAAGGTTTAGGACAGCTTCCTGTTTCAAAGTTTGCCTTAACTTTATTGCTCTAAATAAAAGATGAAGCAATTCTCATGCCATTTCCTTGTCACAGAATGCTTCAAAGAAGCTCTATAGATAGTGAAAAGGATGGAGGGCCCCAGTTTGCAGAAGTGTTTGTCATTGTCTGGTTTGGTGCAGTTACTATCACCCTCAACTCAAAACTTCTTGGAGGAAACATGTGAGTATTACTAAAATATACTTTTTCCCTTGCCAGGTAGCATATCTTATATTTTTAATGAAGTCTGGCTAGTTAGGTATTTTTTTTAAAAGAAAAAATGAAAATAAATGAGGGCTAAAGAGAAAGTTCTCTTAAACCCACTGAACAGGGATAACCTAGTTTAACTTACCTTAAATTATCTAGGGTCCTATGATAAGCTTCAGATGCTTTCTCCAGCTCCTGAAATCATATGGAGACTTTTTTTGTGTTAGAAGATTATGTCCATTTTGCGTAAAAGATGGTCTGTAGCTTTCAACAAATTCTCAAATAGGTCTTTCAACTAGAAAAGATTAAGAACAACTGTCTTAGAGGTTCGGTGGGAGAAGGAAGTCTCTAGGAATTAGAGTAGATCATCTGGTACCCTAGGTGGTTGACTCTCAGGAGTTTGAGAGGAAAGGAGGAAGAGTATGGGGAGAGAAAAATTAAAGCATATGCTTAATACAGAAGGCTCTCCTCATAAAATCAACGTTAGGGTATAGGTATTATGTATTTGAAGGAAGGTAACAATCCATGATATATAGAAATCTGTGTAATAAACTGTATCATGATACAGATCAACTATACTTATGATCTTTACAGATGTATGTTATTTTTTAGATCTTTTTTTCAGAGCCTCTGTGTGCTGGGTTACTGTATACTTCCCTTGACAGTGGCAATGCTGGTTTGCCGGTTGGTGCTTTTGGCTGAGCCAGGACCTATAAACTTCATGGTCCGGCTCTTTGTGGTGATCGTCATGTTTGCCTGGTCTATAGTAGGTAAGAATGTACTTATCTCTACAATAGCAAAGCAAACAAAAACATGAGTTAGAGATGAAGACTGGATGAGGTGCAGTGTAACTCCTGAGTCATATGTGAGTGGTAGGATTCTTGCCAGTATCATCCATAGAACCCTCTTCTCTAAGTAGGCAATGATAGGGATGCTGTCCATCTTATCTGAGTTGGATATCTGGACTTCTGAGATGTGGACAGTCATATCCTTTCTTTTTTATTCTTAAATAATGGATAGGGTTGGGAAAGGAGATTACATTAGACCTAGCTCAGATCCTAGCATATAGGATGAGGCATAGGTGACTTGAGAAATGACTTGGGCTTTTTCCTGACAAATTAATCATGATGAGAATAGTAGCCAGCATTTACAGATTGCTTATTCTAGGCAAGCACCGTTGTGAGTGTTTTATATGCATTATCTCACTTAACCCTCACAACTCTAATAAATAAAAACTAGTATTATTAGTCCCATTTTTACAGATGAGGAACAGAGCCAGTGAGGTTAAGCAACTTGCCCTAGGACACAAAACTAGTGAATACGGAATTAAGTTTCAAACCCAAGCAGATGACACACCTGTTTAGAACTGTATTATACTACCTCCCAGTATAGGTTGTTAGGTATATCATCTACAGTACTTTTCTGCTTCAGTAGAAAATTCTGCCAAAGATTAGGAAGAGCCTATAGCGGTGGCAGTGCATGCTATGGGCTCGTTGTTGCTGCATTCCTAAAATTCTACCTTCAACTAGAACTGTTCACTGGCTTCTTACTTCATGGGATAGACAGACTGCCTAATATTTTTAAGTGCATTAACATATCTTTGCTCTGAAACATGGTTAAAATCCAAGAAGTAACCCAAAAATAAGGTCTGAGAATGCCACAATTGATATTATGAAGACTGTGTGTTAAGCTCAAGTGCTTTACCCATGGGAGAACCCCCTCATTCCCTCACTTAGAGTCTGATAATTTACCATACTTGTAGTTCTAAATATCCAGTGTCCAGGCTTATGGCAGTTCAGAAAGTAGAATTTTAGAAGAGAGAGAGAGGCATTCCATTTTTTAATTCAGCAGATATTTCTTGAGCACAAACTATGTGTCAGGCATTTTGCTAGGCATGGTCTCTATCCTCAGAGTTCAGAACTTAGTGGAACAGCCAGACAGGGAAACACTTAAGGGCAATAGGCGTCCCAGGCGGGAGATGGAAGTCTGTGCAGGGTATGGTAGGGACACAGAGGCGGTAAGTGGGCAGTTCCGCCTGGGATGGCAGAATACAAGATGGTTGTTCAGGAAAGATTGCCCGTGAAGGGTGATCACTGATGAGTAAAAGGATGAGTCTCATTTCCTGGGTGGACAAGAAGAATGGCATCTAAAAGAGCCAATAACTTAATAATGAGAACAATTACTCAAAAAGCACAGCAGTATGAGGCCATTTGCCATAGGAGCAACTCGCCTTATACATCTTTCTCAGTGTATTCGGCACAGGTCAGTAACTTCTCAGAAAAGGGTAGGAAGCTCCTTTTAGAAAGATTTTCATGTGAAATGGTCGAAAACTTTCAAAGTTTAGTATTGGAAACAAGTAGCTCTCAACTGTCTGGAAAACTATGCTGCAGAATGCCTTTTTCTCTGAAGATCACAAATATAACTGAGCTTTTTGTATAATTTTGTGTTCCAGACTATGCCAAGCACATTAAAGTGTAGTAAATGTTAGTGGTTGTGACAATCTTATTATACTAAAGATTCCATTTTGTTTTGTTTGTTTTGTTTAGCCTCTACAGCTTTTCTGGCCGATAGCCAGCCTCCAAACCGCAAAGCCCTGGCCATTTATCCCGTTTTCTTGTTCTATTTTGTCATCAGTTGGATGATTCTCACATTCACTCCTCAGTAAATCAGGAAATGGAAACTAAAAACCAGTGAATTGAAAGCTCATCTGAAAGATGCAATTCACCATGGAGCTTTGCCTCTGGCCCTCTTTTGTCTAATTTTGGAGGTATTTGGTATGTGAGGAGATTTAAAAGGGAGCCATAAAGCACCATCACTGCTTATGTAAGGAACCGATGTTTGAAAGGCTGTCCTTTGCCTCTTGATGTTATTTCTTCAAAATACGTAGTATGTGCAGTATAGTGCTGCCTCAAGGCATGATAGGATCACTGTGGTCCATTTGAGTGACAACCAACGATTTGGGAAGCACATGGATACATCCTGCAAGTTGAGTGGAATTAGCAACTATATTTTCAGTTTTGAGAATACCAGTTCAGGTGCAGCTCTTAAACACATTGCCTTATGACTATTAGAATATGCCTCTCTTTTCATAAATAGGAATGGGTAGTCTATCCATGTTGTTTTATTTCTTTCTTAGGCTTAAAAAGGCAATGACAGACGTTGGGAACGGGGTTCATAATTGGGGAGGAGAAAACATGCATTAACCAGTATTCAGATTTTGACTGGAGAAAATTCTGCACTCGTTGCTTTTTAAAAAAGCAAAGGACATCTAAAGAATCAGCTTCTTTAGTCGTTCTGTACAGTCCCTTTTCCGCCATGCTTATTAACAGCACCTCACTGACACTCTAGTTTTTAATCTTACTCCCTAGCTCTGAATATGTAAGCTGTTAGCAGTCAATATGTAATTTTCCTTTCATTAAAGCTCTCAGTGGACCAGTGCTTGAACTTATCTGGGTGGAAGACTTCCGAAATTTAGATTGGTTGGTCCTTAATGCATATTATCATTTGGGCACTTGTTTCTTCTTCAGGGTAGAATGAGGCAGTTTGGATACAGCATAGCTCTAAGGTATTCTTCATTATTCTGTGTAGTCTGGCTTCTAACTAGAGAGTAAAGCTAAATCAGAAGCCTGCATTTAACCGTATGCACATGGAGGGATTTAGTGTTCTGATGGCTGGTTCACAGAACAACTAGATGCTTAGAGCATGACGTTGGATGACGTGGGTTTACAGCCGCCACCTCTTCATAGTGGGCTTAGCAGTTTTTTCATGAGATGTGCTTTTTGGGTCGGGGAATAGCAATTTGTTTTCTTGGTTTTAGACTTTATTTGTAAAGCTACTTAGCTCTTCTTTAGACAAGTACTTTTTTTGCACATGTGCACCTACTTGTATTCTCAGCTATTTATACACACAAGTGTGAAGGCTTTTCAGGGAGCAGAGTGTCTGGAAAGGCTGATTCTAAGCTAAACAGCGCTCCTTTAAGGTAATATGAGCTACTGCCTTCTATAAATTGCACATTGAAGAACTCTTAATAGACAAAAGATTAGGAGTCAGGCAGAAAACATTCATTGTATATACAGTTACTTACAAAGATAGGAATTTATTCCACGGTTTTTCTTTATCATGGAATCTAAATATTTATTCATTTTTGTATCTAAAGACTACACATAGATATATAATTTTAAAAACGTATTTTCTCCATTCCCAGATTAACCAAGAACACTACTAGGACAAATGAGTTCTTGGAGTGATATTAAATTAGTGAGCATTACAGAGTTGGTCCCTTCTGTCCCAGCCTTGTCCAGAGGTTTTGGTTATATATTTATATTCATTTCAGTTTCCCTTCTAATTAAAATAAACCTGGTGAGCACAAAGCCAATTTTTCAATCTTGAATTGGTAAAGACAATATTTTGAAACTGGTTTTGATTTTGAAATTGGTCCTTAAGTTATCATCTATTTCCATTGTCTGAAATTTCCTAACCTTTACTAAAAACATCTCTCTTAGAAAGTTATTTCATAATCCGTCCCAATGGTTATAATGTAAAAATTAAAGAAATGATCATGTTTCTCAAAAGGGAATTGCCTACTGAATTGTACTCAGGCTAAATATTTTGGTCAGAAATTTTTAAGGCTACAACAGGGGTGGGGGTTGTGTGGGTAGAGGGCGGGGAGAGGGGGTTATCACATTGGGTATTAAGGCAGCTTGTTCTGTGTGTTAATCTGTTGCTCTCGGGTGACTTAAGGAATGGTTTCATTTGATTTAGATGAAGATGGGTAAAATGGAGATTATCTTTCTGGAAATGAATGGTCAGTTTTGTGGTATAAATGATTATTTTCTTAATATATGCAAAAAAAAAAGTGCATTGTTCTCTGTGGCAGAAGACCTGATTATCTGGAAGTTGTAACCCTCAACGCAGCTTTCCCTGGTTTGCTGCAAAGGCATATGGCTAATTTTAGAAACAAAGACTAGAAGAGAAGGGGATTTTAACGGGGATTTTAACAAAGGAAACCCTGTTCCAGGAATTGGGAAGTTTCATGCTTTAGATGAAACTCAAGTGTGTGAGCATCATTACCAAATGTGGTACATCACTGTCATGGCTTGTCATTTGCTGCTCCTACTTCTGAGATTGAGCCTCCGTTGTCACATTCTTTAGCAATAGGAAAGGTGAAGACTGGATGTAATTGCTGTTCAGATTATAAAAACTCAACTGATACAAACATGTTTGAATGTGCAGTGTAGTCTTAAATGTCAACCATTAACTGTCAAGTCTTTTGCCTCTTAGGAGTCTTATTTACATGAGTTGAATAGGATCTTTTTATTGTGATGGGTTTTTTCCTGTTGTTGGGCAAGGTGGGCTTGTCATAGGGCATAGGACCAGTCTGCATTTTACTGTTTACTATATTTGTCTTTTTATGAAGTATCCGCTAGATGTGATTAGAAGGCTAGCAAGCCTGTATTTGAAGATTTAATTGTATACTTCTTATAATCTAACTACTTACTGTACCTGGACTTCCTGTTTATTCCTGAAGATGAAAATGAAAATCTTCGGTCATTGCAGTGACATCAAGTCATTGAAATTTATTTAAATGCTATAATGATACGATCAGACATCCATTGCATGAGCTGTTTTATTCCAGAGTAAAATACCGAAATTGTTATTCTTAATTAGACTGTTAACTTCTGAGACAATTTGGACAGAAATAAATGTGTGAATGTTAATTCGTGTATGTAAATTAGAAATACTTTTCTAGATTCTGTGGGCTTTTATTGAAAATAAAGAATTTCTAGGAATTTACACAGGCCATAGGATGGCCAAGTAATAATAATGACAATAATATTACTACTAATAATGGCTTAACATTTATTGGGCACTTACATTGTGCCAGGCAATATTCTATTTTTTTAAGAATTTTTATAACAGCTTTATTGAGATATACTTTTACCATAAAATTCACCCTTTTAAAGTGATGTACAATTAAGTAATTTTTCAGTATATTCACATAATTGTGTAATTATCACCATTAGTTCATTTTAAAACATTTTCATCACATCACAATAAAATCCCATATCCAGTAGCATCACTTCCTTTTCCCCTTCTCCCCAGCCTCTGGCAACCACCAGTCTGCTTTCTGTCTCTGTTGGTTTGGCCAGGCACTATTCTTAAGTGCTTTTTATGTATCTCCTCTACTCCTTAACATAAAGTGCTATAATTCTCATTTTACAAGTAGAAAATTGAGTCACAGAAGGGTTAAGTAAATTGCCCAAGGTCACACAGTAAATTGATTTAAAATAGGAAAACACTGTAGATGGGAGCATAGTAAGACAGTTTTGAATTGCATTGTTATATACATGAAATGAATGTACCCCTTTCCCAGGGTATGCTCCTTGTCATTAGCCATTACACCCTACAACTGACTGGAGATACATAACTCTCATCCTTTTTTTTTCCCCCTGAATAATAGAACACTATATAAGCATCTGCGGAAAACACAAGAGCAGCTGTACATCGGAAAGAGTTAGGTTTGCTGCCCTCCCCAAACTTGAGCCCCCTTTCTCTCCTTTCCCCCCACCCAACACACATACACACACTCTCTCTCTCTTTCTCTGTCCTCTCCTTTTTCCCAAAGTCTTAAGAGTCAAGCGACTTCTGCCTCTTTTCATTTTTATTCTCCCAGAGGGATGGTTAATGCATCAAAATTTAACCTGTTTATTCAGGTGTTTATAGTCAGGGGATGCATCTAGTCATTTATAATACCAATTATATTTCTAAGACCTCAGAGAGCAGTAGCGTGAGAGTAAAATCCTTTTTTATTTGGGTTAAACTAGGTGGGAGAAATAACAGAGTAAAGGCTTTGCCTTAATGAAGTCAGTGGTTCCGCCTGGTAGGAAGTGGCCACACGCTGCTGTTGTCCACTCTGTTCTGTTTATTTCAGAGCCTTTGTACTCTATGCTATCACTGCTGGTAATTTCTTGGTTCTCTTCAATACTCCATTTTAATCCTGATCTTTCCTGTAAATAATGAACCTGTGGAAAGAATAAATCTGTAAAATGATTTGTGAATGTTAAATGTGCAAATAAAAACACTGGAAAAGGAGATTTTGTATGTGCCTATTCTTGAGCTGAAAGACACAGACATTTGCTGCATACTGTTTTCAGATGTAATATATTGTGATCAGACAATACTGAATGCTGTGTAGGATTGCACAGGCAGCAAGCAAAAAGGGAAATCACATTTACTGAGCAAGTAATATATACCAGGTGTTATGTTAACTACTTTATAACAGTATCTCCTCTAATCACAGCAGCCTTTTAAAGTTTTGGTATTATCCTTATTTCAAAGTTTTGGAACCTGGAAATTTGGGGAGGTTAAATAAATTGCCCAGAGTCACAGTGAGTGGTGCAACCAGGGTTCAAACTCAGGTTTTATGACTCCATAGTCTTCCATATTAGTTCCTTGCCAAACTAAAATCATATCTACCTACTTAACCTAAGCCACATCAATCAGGTAGCTTAATAATATGGTGGGAAACGGGGTTTTCACCCATCTGCTGGGGACTGTACTAATTTCTGCCTTCAGTTTACGATCTACTTGGAGAAACAAAGTTCTGCACCATCTGTACACACCATGATGAGATACACTTTACACCTGTCAGAATGGCTAAAATCAAAAACAGGAAATAATGTTGCTGATGATGTGGAGAAAAAGGAATCTTTTTTGCACTGTTGGTGGGAGTGCAAATTGTTGGTGCAGCCACTGTGAAAAGCAATATGGTGATTCCTCAGAAAATTAAATATAAAATTAAAAATGAAATTACCATATGATCCAGTAATTCCACTACTGGGTATTTACCCAAAGAAAACAGAAACACCAATTCGAAAAGATATATGCACTTCTATGTTTATTGCAATAAAGATATGGAAACAACCCAGGTGTCGATCGATAGATGAATGGAGATATATACATATATATATATATATATACACACACACACACTATATAATCTTCATATATATATATAAAATACTTCATATTACTCAGCCATAAAAAAGAATGAGATCTTGCCATTTGCAACATGGATGGACCTAGAGGGTATAATGTTAAGTGAAATAAGTCAGAGTAAGACAAATACCATATGATTTCACTCATATGTGGCATTTAAGAAATGAAGCAAATGAATAAACAAAGAAAAAATCAGACTCCTAAAGACAGAGACTCCTAAAGACAGAGAACAAGCTGGTGGTGCCAGAGGGGAGGGGGAAAGGGGGATAGGTAAGACAGATGAAGGAAATTGAGTACATTTATCCTGATGAAATGCATAGAATTGCTAAATCATATTGTATACCTGAAATGAATGTAACACTGTATGTTAATCATACTTGAAAAAAAAAAAGAAAGAAAGAAAGGAGCCGAAGGCCTCCCCAGAGAGGCAGAGTAAAGTGGCTTAAAGTATGGGTTGCTGGGCCTGGCTAGGTCCCAGAACTTGGTCCTTAGGGATCATGTCCCCTGCCCTTCCTTAACTCTCAGCATACCAGGGTGGTTGAGGTAGGGGCAACAGGAGGTAGGAGGTGCTGAGCTGACCTACTTATGGGCAGAGCCACTGTGTTCCTGAGCTGGAGAGTCAGTATTTCCCACCCCAGGGATTCACTTCTCCAAGGGGCATTTAATGTCTTTTCTGGGCATCACCTTTTGGCCTGCCTCAATCTCTGGCTGCTTACCCTGATGGTCCTGTGACACACAGAACTCTAGTCTACATCCCATC